CAAGTTCCTTCAGCTGGACGAAGATCAGCGCTTCAACATTAAGCTCGAGGAGACCTTCGATGTTGAAACAGTACGCAACAACGACAAGTGTTTTTTCGTAATTAAGCATGACTTCAACTATTTCAACGTCTAATTTTCATCTTTTACAATTCGACTAGCTTATCCCATGCCATGCAAGACGCTATGTCTTGGAGAGGATGGGGTTTTGAAGACCATGAAAATTTTGAAACAAAGAAAATACACCTAAGGACCCATCATGATGTGGATTTTGAAGTAAATTTGTACAATTCTGAAAGCGTAACCCATTTTTTTTGCCAAAATTGGGAAGCACTTTGCAAAACGTATGGTTTTTATGAGGGTATGATTGTCACCATGGATCTTGATGATCCTGACATCGAACAAGACAATATGGACATTTGGGTCCTTGTTGATACGCTTCCAATTCTACCGCAATGTGAGTTTCTCAAACATAGTGATTGACTAATTTATATTGTTTATTTTACAATAGTTGCCAGCTTATTTCCATTGACAACTTATTTTGATTCTTCAAAGAATGTGCAGAAGATGATAGACAAAACCCACTACACTGATGGCTCCAAATTAAATTATAAGGAGAAAAGTCATCTGATCGCATTTTGTACTTATCTTGAGAATTACAATACCTATTATCGAACTCATCCAAATTATGGTGAATATGTGCCACTAGTGCACGTGTTGAACCACGGTTACTTCTATGTATCAGAATGGTCTCCTTGAAGTTCTGAACATACAGCCAGGTCAACCTACGGATCTCACCTGTGCATATCGGATTTCTAAAACCGGCGAACACATGCTAATCAAAGAATGGAAAAAATATTTGGACATTCATAAGGAGGTTCTTGGAAGTAACATTAAGCGAAAGGTAAGAATTGGAGACAGGATAATCTCCATTCTCCATAATGGAGAGTCAGAGGCTATCTTGTTTTTTGTTATTTTACCTTAGGGAATATAGTAGGTCCTAAGAGAATGTAGTAGGTCCTAAGAGGTACAATATGTTTATTATGTGGTACAATGTGTTAGATTTGATGATCAGGAGTACTTGTGATTACGACTAGTGACCAATTTGCTATGTGATGTACTCATTGATGAAAACGATGATCTCGAGGAGGTGTTATATGACAATGATGTATTATGATGATAAGTTGTTAATGATATGATGATGATGATGATGATATTTATTATATCATTGGGTGAAAGAACCACGGATTAGTTTCAAGTGGATGTCCATCCACTTGAAACTAGTCCACGGTTCTTTCACCTCGTGATGTAATAACTCATTATGATGTAAAAATAATCTCTAAATTCCTGTTGTATGAAAACTTTTGTAAAGGTTTATGAATACAACATGAAATAAAAAAGAAATAAAATACAAAATAATAGTAGTAGCACGGGCAGGGAGAAGCGCTACTACTAATTACCAGTAGCGCTCCTCGGGGAAAGTGCTACTACTAAGTCGATATAGCAGTAGCGTGGCTTAAGGCACGCTACTGCTAACCTTTAGCTGTAGCGCCGTACCAGTAGCGCTTCAGCCCGCGCTACTGATAGGCCTAAAACCCGCGCTGCTGCTAGGCTTTTCCCTAGTAGTGATGTTTTATCTCCTTAAAAAATCTAATTAAAAAAATCCATTTTCACCATTAAATCCGTCTTGACGAGAATTTCAAAACTAGATCCCATGTTGATATGTTTCGACGAAATTTTTTTTGGGCCAAAAGTTGCCATGATGTTTACACTGTAGTTGCCATAGTGTTACGCTAAAGTTCCCTTGTGGCAATTTTAGATTATATAGCATCACAATTTTAGTATTTTAACCAAGGCAATTCCAGTACTTTAAACATGAAAATTATTATTTTTGTATGAACCATGGCAATTTTAAGTGCATGTATCATGAAAATTTTAGTTTATGGTCCATTGGCAAGTCTAGTTTCTTAATTCCCCGTTTTATAATATGTCAAAATTTACTTTTAAATGTAGAAGAAAATAGTTGAAACATATCATGGCAATTTGAGTGTAAACACCTTGGCAATTCATGTGCAATAGACATGGCAACTTTTAAAAGTCGTCGAAACATATTGATATGAGATCTAGTTTCGAAGATCTCGTCGCGATGGATTTGATGGTGAAAACGAATCTTCAATTGAATTTTTCATTAAAGAGGTAAAACCGTTTAAAAACTGGAAATCCAAAAAGATTCGCACATGCATGCATGCGGTGACGACGTCAGTGGCGATTCTACTCAACAGGCTTCAATAGGCTCTAGCCTACCCTCAAAATTTGTCACACAAAGAAACTCCACCAATGATCAGCACACTAGTAGTTAGGTGCATCACATAAAATGGCTTCCAACACCAAAAAATTAGTATCCTTTAAGTTGAGCCTGCCCTGCAATTACGTCTTAGATTCGCCACTGGACGACGTGACGTAGTCTGTGTGTTATAGGATATGTGGGCGGGTGTCGCTCCCACCACACATGTGGGCGTTATCAGCGTCCATTATATATAGTACTAATAAAAGTAGGAAAGTTTAGATTGAGTCACTTTACTTTCCACGTAACAAAGGTGTCCATTTGTGTGATGGCTTGCATGCCATGAAAATTGGTCGTGTCCTAACATGAGTAGGATTAGCACTACTCAGATTAAGACACCATCTGGTGTGTACGTGTACTAGTCCGTGTAGTGCTAAACTTTGTTATCGAACGTGATGGGTTTGCGTCTTGGAGCTAGCTGTGCTGTGTATATACACACATCAAAGCTGCACCGTGTAAGAAGCACCAGAAAATGAGAAGTGAAGACAAGAAAAGGAGCGCACGATACGAGCCCTTGGCAAAAAGATTTTTTATCCTGTTTGTTCGTCTATTTTTGTGCGATAGGTCCATGGACGAAACCCAACATATCTTGGCAATCGTCTCTGAAGTTCTAATAACAACGAGAGTAATGGGAAACGCAACACCTTATGCTGTTTCATTTCTCTTAAGGTTTATCTATGGGGTTATGCTAATACTTACCAAAGCTGCTTTTAACCAAGGTACAAGTACATACGTTCTTAATTTCTACAAGCATGTAATAGCCACCATCTTCTTACTGCCCATTGCTTTTGCGATTGAAAGGTACGCATATTTTGGCTGCTTAGTTAGCTAGATCTGAATGTCATCTAGGAAGCATACACCGAGATTTATTTTTGCAGGAAAACCGCCCCACAACTTTCACACAAAGTTTGCTTGAAGCTATTTGTGCATGCATTATATGGGTAGGTAAAAGTACAAGGAAGATGTGTTGTAGTACACTTGATATTCTTTCTATGAAATGGCACTGTTGGATAAAAAAAATTGTTTGCAACAATGTATTCTTTTATCATATTTTTTGTATTTTATAGGGATGAAAGTATCATGTGAGGAATGGTGACATGGAGTTGTTAGACATATACCTAATACCATACCATACATGGAGTTGTTTATCACATTCAAGAAAAAATTCATAACAATATACTCTCATACATGGTGTATACGAAAAAACAAATACAGACATATGAAAATGAGCCCTTTTTTATTGTTGTTGGACTGGGATTTTTTTTGCGCAGCCTGCAAATCATAATATTTTTGAATGAAATATTACAGATCCATCACGAATATGTATAAGTTTTTACAGATTTTTTTGGAATTTTTTTAACATGGAAATATCATTTTTGAATCATTTGAAATAAATTTCACCAATGTACCCATCCACTGAAATTTTGCACTTAAAGGCTTTCTTTTTTGCGGGTCACTTAAAGGCTACTACAGTACTGTAACAAAATTGCTTTAGAAGCTTGGCAGTTTATTCTTTAAAAAACATGCAAGAGCTACTCTGGATTTAGTGCCGTTTACATAGCAATAGACACTAATACAACTTTTTCTATATTATGATTTTACTCCTTGTCGTCCATAAGTGCTGCCTTATTCTTTCCACAACATGCGTCAGTTTGCCACTAATCTCTCCACCGTTCATAGAGATGCATTTGCTTACTGCTGCCCTTTTCCTTTCCCACATCATGTGTCACTTTTGCCACTGACTCCCCCGTCATAAAGACGCATTTGTATCCTGCAACCACTATAAGACCTCTTTCAAACAGAATAATGTCTATAGAAATATACAATTGCAAATGACTCACTGGGCATTAGTCACCGAGTGACATTTTTGTAGAGAATGTCGAAGAAGCATCCGAGTCACCTTGAGGTTGAAAGTTGGAACTATTGAAATGTTCTTTTCTTTAGAAATATAAATATGATTTTAATTTTGAACTAAGCAACTGGTGTATGTAGTGGAAGCAGTTTCCTTGAATGTGTTTCTAACAGTTTGCAATAAGTTGCCTCAGTTTAGGGTACAATTTTTTAACTTTTTATATGAGGTAAACGATGGTTGAATCATAGACAGTTTTTAATGTTGCCAAATATGTATGAGAAATTATCATGTAATTTTTGATACCTTGACCTGCAAGTGAAGCACTTTGAAGTTCGTATTTCCTTTTCTCTAGGAAGATGAACAACCTAAGATGAATAATACTGCCAGTGCACATGACTTTTCAGTTTAGCAAAATAGTTGTGCATTGGTTGTGGATGCATCATCCATTCTAAAAAGTACACAAGCACCTTGTTACTGATACACCGAATTAGTTACAATTAATGTTTCTTATACAGTGTAACGTTTTGATGTTGTGAAGTATGATGTAACCAACTTGTAAGACCTAAAAGGAGTTTTCTGCCGTTTTTTAACCTTGATTAAAGTGAGAGGCTAGTGTGGCATGTAGATAGTAAAGCATAAGTAAAACATATTTTTTCTTCAGTGGATACCTATGAGTCATATCTGAACAAACCTTATGACAGTGAATGTTTGATTAAGTATCCTGATGGCAAATGCTTGACGAAGTGTTGCAATGGGCAAGTAGTAGTATTTAAGCAAACATCTTTGAAGTTCTAACAAACGGGAGTCATGGGCAACAGAGCTCCTTATGCTGTTTCATTTCTATTAAGGTTTATCTATGCGGTTATGCAGATACTTACTAAAGTTGCTTTTAACCAAGGTACAAGTACATACGTTCTTGTTTTCTACAGGCATTTAATAGGTACCATGTTCCTACTGCCTATTGCTTTTGTAATTGAAAGGTATGCAGATTTTTGGCTGCTTATTTACCTGGATTTGGATGTCATCTAGGAAACTTGCACTGAGATTTATTTTTGCAGGAAAACGGCCCCATGACTGTCATACAAACTCTGTCTGAAACTATTTGTGCATGCACTATATGGGTAGGTCAACGTATAAGGCAGAACTGCTGTTCTGCACTTGATCCTCTTGTCTATCAACTTTCACTGTTTGGTTAAAACATTACATGCAACAATGTGTTATTTTCTCTTCTTTTTGTATATTATTGGGGCGAGAGTATTCACGTGAGAAATGGTGACATGGTTTATTAGTTATCTACCTAACCTATAGTGTATCAATCTGTTGGTTCCTATCCAAACTTATGTTTGAAGCTATTTTATGTGCATCCATGTGTACCCTTGCAATGCAAATTTACTTAGTTTTCATTAATTCCTTGCTCCGACCTTTTGATTTCAGTGTAGTACAGTCATCGCCTTCTTCAATGGCGATCCAAGAATTTCAGTTTTATCTGATTAATATATATTTCTAACTGTTCAACTAATTGCGAAAATTATAGCTCGTCTTTGTGGGGGAAAGTAGCTATTTAATTAGGTTAACTAATTAACTTTCTACAGGAGTGTTGTGCAAAGCTAAGAATGATGTGAATAGTTATTGTGTAGAATCATACCATGTATTTTTTTCTTACAACAGACCCATGGTATTTCTTAGCTATCTTTACTGAGTTTTTCTTTTATAAATGCCTATACATCTTATTTTCTAAGTATGCAAATCATTTAATAAAATTCATTTGTTTCATTTCCCCAGGATGTCTGCTTCTCTTAACATATCATGTGTCGGTCTCAATTATGCTTCAGCAACTTCTGCTTCTGCAGTACTAAATCTCCTACCAGTGTTAACTTTCTTTTTGGCTCTTCTATTGGGGTATGTGTTTTTAATTATAATTGCATTACATCCTAAGGTAGAACATCTTTATATTGCCTTGTGGTAACTAAAATTTAAATCTGTCATCAAACTAAGCTCAGCAAATTTGTAGTTGTGATATCCACAAATAAATTGCATGAATATGATATCTATATATAATCTATTTGCATTGAATACAGCAGAATAGCTTTGCATAAATGTGTGATTATGAGAAGAGGACTCAAGTTTTTAACATACATAGTTGATACTAGAAGATGACCCACGGTTGCCTCGGGATGGTAGGCCAAAAACATGGATATTAGGTTGATGATGTGAATAATTGTAAAAATTATGATGTGATGGAAAATGATTTGCCAGCCATGCATGATTCGTTGGTGTGAAAAGGGTTGCACACATGGACAAGATAGTTAGTGTGATGGTAGATTAATGATGTGGCGGACAAGCATGGTTTGTTGATGTGGAAGTGTTGCATGCTTAGGAAAAATAGTTAATGAGTTACTACTATTTAAGAATAAGAAGATTTAATCTTAGAAATGTTTACAGACAACCGAAATGGATATATTGTGGTGGTAATAAGTCTTCATGTTTGGTAAAGGAAATAAATACATTTTCTTTTGCAAAGGGATACTACATTTGTTTAGAGAAAGAAATTTAATAATTCATTCAATTCTATATGTTTTATTTATAGCAAGATCTTCCCAAGCCCTACCAAACCCAACCTGGCCGGTCCTCAACCACGCTCAAGCTTGCGTAGCCTTTTTTTGACAGGATAACTTTGGGGAGACCCTAGCTTGGTTGAGTTAGGCAAGCTAGGGGTCTAGCCGAGTGACAAGGGGAGCGGATGATATCACTAGCCGAGTTATATGTGCAATGGTTGGAGATAACACCTTTGAGTGTTATAAAGGGTGGAGATAAAACCTTTGAGTGGTAATTTTTCCTCTCGATAGTTTTGCGGCGAGAAAATAGTTACAGAGATTATATTTATTTATAGTGGGACTGCTAATCAGTCTCTATTGGTTACGTTCGTGTGAAATTTGAGCAACATCCCTTAATTTTCTGGCCTTATCGGGTATGTAGTCGCATTGTATGGTTACGCGATGCTTACTAGGGTGGTGATACTTATTAGGATGTACATTGCACTAATTGATACTAATGTACCATTGTGAAATTTGTTTACGTGCGCTTCTTTGAACTTAATAAAAAAATTACTAGCTAACTAAATGCTCATGCTGCTACTGAAGTTATTTTTTGGTACATATTGTCTGTTGGTTAAACGCGTGACATATAGCTCATGCGTTCATAAAAAAACATCATCTCGAAATATACATTAGTCAAATCAACCATATGTACAACCTCTGGAAAATGGACGACAACTGTGGTGATTCAAATAACATAAGTAGTGAACGAACCACCACCAACTCTTATCTTCACCATTACTCTTTAGTAGTGTAAACCTACTTTCGTGTAGATGTAAGTGCTTTGATGAACATGGTGTAGTAACGATAATGGGACTGAAAATAGGTTCACTTTCTTTGTATATAATATTATGATATAAAAAATTGTGGATAAGTGAGTGATTTGTTATTCTGCTTATGGTAGAATGGAGTCTTTGCAATTAAAGAGCTTCCATGGGATTGTGAAAGTTTCTGGTATAGTGATTTGTGCGGCGGGTGTTACTGTACTAGCGTTATACCAAGGACCGGAGCTCAAATCTATAGTCCATCACCCTATTTTCCGTCACCCAAGTCGAGTTGATACTCATCCATCAAGGAGCTGGATATTGGGAATTCTCCTGCAGTCTCTTGCGACTGTAATGTTTGCGCTTTGGACAGTGTTTCAGGTATGCATCTTGCTGTGTGCACAGCTTACAGATTCAGGTGTGTGTGTGTGTGTGTGTGTGTGTGTGTGTGTGGGCGCATGTTCAGATGCTAACTTATTCCATGTTGCTTCTAGGGCCCTTTGCTGGAGGAGTATCCGTCCATGCTGCTTAACACGAGCCTTCAGATTGTCTTTGCGACTATCCAATCATTTTTTATGGCTCTAGTGATGGAGAGGGACTTTTCAAGATGGAAGTTGGGACTGGATGTAGGTCTTGTGGCGATCATCTATTGTGTAAGTATAAGAATCCTCTCAGCAACAGCAAATCCTTCATTTCTTACGAGACCTCTTCAGAGGGTGGGGAGTTCCCACGTTGCATTAAGAAGAAAAGAGTTGGGCCTGTTAAAGAGGGAAACCGGACCCGAAAACCATACATGGTGTTTGTAAGAAGAATGTTACCGTGGAAGTACAAAAGAAAATACTGACCCTATGAAATTACTTTACATTGTAGGGTGTATTTGTTACCGCATTGGCAAACTACCTGCAAATCTGGGTGATTGGCAGGTGCGGCCCAGTATTCCTGGCCATGACAGTACCCCTAATTTTGGTTATCACAATCATTCTCTCACTTCTTATAGGAGAAGCTGTTACCCTTGGAAGGTGCATTTCTTAATGTTTGCTTGTTAGACAGAAGTAGTACACCCAAAAATATCTTCATATTTTCTTCTACTACTTAACAGTGTAATAAGTGGCGCGCTCATGGTTGCTGGCCTGTACAATGTTCTCTGGGGGAAGAGAATAGAGCAAGTAGCTCTCTGCAAGCAAGGAGGTAGCGGAGAAAATGGATCATGCTTAGATTTGGAGGAACAAGAAAGCGGTGCACCAGTTCCAGCAACGCGGGATTCAATCAAGCCAGTACCAGGTTTGATGGAGAGAACTGATACATCAAGCTGAACTGTGACCTGTGTCAGCCATAATCTTGACTTAGCACGTGCGTTGGCGGACGTGGTTGTGCCGTTGTGGAGAACCAGCGCGACCGGCGGACGTCGTGCGTGTATTTAGTTAGTTAGCACATGCATAGGACTGGATGTGATCGTGTGCATACATGGTTGTTAGTTGGTTAGCTCGTGCGTGTGTGTGTGTGGCCAAGAGTGGCAGGTGTGCGTGCGCCTGTGTGCTAGCCTGGGTATAAATACCCCTCCCATGTACTGATGGAAGTGCTGGGGTATGTGCCGAGCCAGAGTTCGTGCTCAATGAAAACTTAGGCTGTTCGTGCGGCCGAGGCGCCGTTCGTGCGGCGAGGCATATGTGCGCCAGATATATATGTGTCCCTCTCCTTCCACCTACGTCCGAGCGAGTGTGAGAGAGAGGTAGTTCGGGGTTTGTCCCAACAACCTGCAATCATTGTTATTAGTGTGTAAAAGCTTTTGCTTCAGGTCAGCCCACCAGAAACCGTTGAGAGATCTGTAATATTGTTTACTGCGACTGCGAGTCAGCCATAGCAGCTTTAATTGCTTGTTCAGGGCTTAACGTTCGTGTGGTGAATTTTGTGTGTGTGAGGTTATACTTGCATGTTATGGATTGAGCAATTTGAGAAAATGCCACACTTTTCTTGGCACTTTGCTCCTATATACCTCCGTCCATCCACCTCTTTCAGCACCTCAGCCGGCCCGGGAGCCCCCAAATCGTGCACCACCAGAGAATAGCGGCGTCCAGGCCGTCACCCATATCTAGTGCTGCGAGGTGGCGTCCAGGGCCGTCGCGCGTCTCCAGCAAGCCCTCTTCTGAGCGCGGCGCCCCGACCCAGAGGAGCGTAGTGGCCGCCGGATCGAGCGCGGGGACCCTTAGCCAAGCTCATCGACGAGGACATTGCCGCCCCCGCGCTCTGCCCTATGCGGTAACCCCTCCCCCGAGCGGGGAGACCTCGACCTAGATGCGGCGGAGGCTGGGTCCAGCACGACATCCACGAGATCCCCTCCCTATCTCTCCGGGAGAAAAAGATAACATATATTGGATTACTGGATGAGATGTTTAGCAATGTTTGTATTGGTGTGGGTAGCACTGAGAATATGTAATGAGAGACAAAGTCTTCTTTCTTCTTGATTTTTCACACATATATGCAGTTTTGAAGTTGTAATTTATGTATCGTTAAACTTTTTAATAAAGGACGCTTTGTATTAACACATAATGTCGCATTACATCATAATGTTGCAAACATCATAATTATACAACAAATCTTTGCATAACTAGGACGCATACAACCTACATGAAAAAGAGAGACCTGTAGATAATAAGGCAACCCAATGCAGCAAAACATTGACAACTATCACCTCTTTTCCGAACAATGATGACTTCGGCGAAGAAATGGTGCATGAATGTCGCCGTTGCCGGATCGAACTACATAGGTCAGATCATGTGTTTTCACCAATGAAAAAAAGTAGCGTGCTATGACAAAATAGTGTGGCCCTTAAAATAGGCTATTAGCATGCTATGTCGCACTATTGCGTGCAATTTGCAAGACATTATACATTGATTTAATTTGCGGGACATTGCTCAGAATGCTATAGCGTGCAATGAATTAGTGGCGCTATAGCGCATTAATTGTTTTCACTGGTTTTCTCCCAAAGAGAAAATCCGAGCAAACTCTAGGTAATGTCTTCAACTAGGGAGCGTAAACCATGACTGCCAAGTACAACCTAGAGTTTTCACCCCACAACTTAGGGCCAAGAACTCAAAGAGCATCACCAAAGAAGAAGTCCTCTTTGTTGTCGTCACCGACTTGTCGGAGAAGAAGTGTATCTAGAATGCCTTGATCAGCACCGGAATCGTAGATCAAGATGAACTCCACACATCGGCTGTTTGCTAAGACACCAAATCTACCATCACAAACAACATCGAGAATTCTAATACCTGCACTGATGTGGGGCACACCTCAACCATCACCCGAGTACGATTTGATGCCCACTAGAGACAATCGTCTAACACGTGATACCAATGGACAAGTCGTGTTCATCACCATCGAGGAACCACCGCCGCCAACTCCATTGGTTGCTTCACCGCATGTACCCATGCCGATGGATAACCACGGGAAGGAGCACAACGCGCAACGTCAAAGGGCCCAAACGTGCACCCTCCTCCTACTACGTCACACTATACCGTGTACACGTTAATTTTGCCGTGCTATCATGTCTCACAGCCGTAGGGTAAATGACGCTTATGATCCACGCGGACAATATCTAAACAGAAACATATCCTGGTGCAAGTACTTGTGACACACGATCAGTCGTAATTTTTTTTTTTTGAGAATAATTTCATTCATATCACGAATCCGCACAAAGTATTTGACCCTTACAAGCACACTGAAACGCAAACACAAAGGACCATGAAAACCTAGAGTACCCTAAGACAACCATAACACAAGAAGATCTCCGAAGCCATGTGTCGTAATCCCTGAATCTTGAGAGAAGATCCCTGCAGCAGAAGGATCTGCAACCAGTCGCAAACAGGTCATCATCTTCGACCACTGTACAATTGTCGCCACGCTGCTTCCTCCTTTCTTGACACCAGCGCTTAAAGGGCATGGACATCAATCCAACACATCTGCAACAGTCGTCGCCATCTTTGGCTTTGAGTACCGCGAAAAGTGTCCCTTCCGAAAGGAAGAGAACTCGAGTCATCCGAATGGTCCAGCACCGCGGCCGGGCCATCCGCCCGGACAAAGCAGGATCTCCCACCAGCATCAGCACAGATGAAGGAGAAGAACAGTAGCAGCAAATCATACCAACAAGGAAGAAGAAAGGTCTTCGTCTCCCTGCATCCATCGCCCATCTGAGGACCCAAATGGCCAGTGCCGATGGACCTCCAGCCACCATAGCCCGCGACCTCGACAAGCTCCGGGGATCCCAAACACCGCTGGCTCCTAGAGGAAGGCAAAAGCCTCGCCTGACCGCGAACGGAGCCCGGAGAAACTTCTTCCGACACGACACCACCGCAACGGCCTCGGCAGCGTATCTCTCAAACCTAACCCTACCACACACCCACCTAGTGAACAGACCAGAGGTTCCCCCTCCCTCCCGCCGCCGGAGCGACCGACGGAGAGAGAGGGAACCGGCGGCGTCACCGGCGGCGCGCAAGGGAACCTTCGTCGCCTCCCTCGATCGCCTGGAGCGATCCTACTTTTCCGCACGCACAAAACCGAACAACCTCATGATCAGTCGTAATTGGTTGGTTCATCTGAAGTTGTATATGTACTGCTACTGCACCTCAACTTCCGTTTGCTTCCCATCTCAAAATATAAACTTTCATTTGCTTCGGATACCTCTGATCTTCGGTTCGCCTTTGGTTATGGGAAACGTTTATAATCGGCGGACCGGCCGAAGCTAGCTTCGGCCGGTCACGTTCCTCGCTCGCTCAACATCCACCAGCGCTAGTAGGACCCACCACCACTGTATCTCTATCCCCTTTTTATCTCTAGCGCAAAACGCTCTGAGCACTCGTTCTTTTTGGCCAACAGCGTGCCTCCCTTCTCCCCTGTATCTCTACACACCTGCTCAGCAGCTCGCCGGGGATGCTGCCGCGCACCACCTCGCGTATAATCGCCACCGGAAGGCGAGGTCGTCGGCTTCAGGAGACTGCGGGCTGCGTGCTCGATGGCCAGCAAGCTAGGACGCCGCAAATCGAGCGAGTTCGGCACCTGCAGGCGCACAGCCGCCTTGCCATGGCAACGACCTGGCCATGGGGCACACCACGTCCTCATCTGCTGCGGACGCGCGCGCTCCGGCGGGTCGGTGCTTCAAAGGGCCACGGGGGAAGCTGGAACCATGGTTGCGGCGAGCTGCAACGGGACGACGAGAGGAGCTGCTACGGGACGGGCGTCCTGACACGAGATTGATGGAACCATTTTTTGCTGGAACTATGCTTGCGGTGAGCCGCAACCGGCGCCGAGAGGAGCTGCAACGGGACGGGCGGCGTGCGACGGCGCGCCGAGAATGCTGGAACCGGCAACACTGCAACCGTCGGCGCGGCGTTGTTACAACCGGAGAGTCCAAAGCTGCAACCGACCACCCTGCCCGGCAAAAGCTGGAACCAGCCACCCAAAAAGCTTCAACCAGCGGCGCGTTTCGTGGGATGCGGCGACAAACACCACAACAACTGGCGGCACGCGGCGGAGCTGCATCCAACAATTTCTTTTGCTATAGCAGGCACCTATTTTTGCTAGAAGCATAGAGAGCGCGGGCCGAGCGTCGGCGCAACGGAGCTACATCCAGTGTCCCAAGATACTACTACCCGCATCAAGTTTTGCTGGAAATACAAAAATGTCCCTCATCGGTTATGCAACCAGGGGGTTGCACCGGCGAGGTGCGGCGTCTGCCACTGTAGGGGAGGGGCGGCTAGGGAGGCACCTTTTTGCTAAGGGGCGATTTATTTTTGAGGTGGCGACAACTTGAGGGGCCAGCAGTGCGGCGAGTCAGGCGAGCGGCGACGGTGGATCGAAGTGTGGCATGTTGGGGCGAGCGACGGCGGTGGATGGAAGTGCTTCATCGGCGGCGTGCTTGGAGCTCGGTGGTACCGCGGGTATGGGCGCGGTGACGTGAGCGCGAGCCATGCGGGGGCATGTGCGAGCAGTGTGGAAGAAACAAAGTGAAGAGGAAGACGAGAAAGAGGGTCACGGGCTGCCGAGCTGGCTCATCCGACGGCTGTTGAGCATCGAATCAAAGGGTTGCGCGGCGACCGGCGCAGAGTAGTCGCCTTTGGTTGACCCTGTGCACCACGTCGCACAAACCAAACTCCACTACAAGTGTTCGCCGCACTACGTTGACTGTGTGCTTAAATTACGGTAATTTTCGATCATAACACAAGTGCCTCCGTAGCATAGTGGTAGTGCGTTCCCTTCGTAAGGGAAAGGTCGTGAGTTCGATCCTTACCGGGGGCTAAATAAATTTATATTCTATTTT